GGGCCAAGAAGAGAAGGGGCGAGGGATGATGGACATACGTTGCATTGAAGACGAAGTCCCTAGGTTCGGGGTTCGGGTGCTAAATGGTCCAAAGTGAGTTTAGTGCTCATTCCGGTGATCGAAGAAAGTCTTACAGCAGTGATCTCGTGCAGCTCGCGCTGGATTGAGAGGCAGAAGTTGTCAAGGTCTAGAAGAATGGTAAGCAAACCTCGCAAGGGGAGCAGAATGTAGGGAGACAACTAACCGAGATCATTGAGGTCGTAGTTGAAAGGGTTTTCACTGGCGGTAGAGAGTTGTCGTTTAGCGGATGGTTGAAGGTTAGACAAAAAGCTCCTACATTTCTTGTCCGATCTCCAGGAATCCTAGATACAAGAATGAAGCGAACGCCGTGCCTGGAATGGTGAGGTACCCGAAGGCATTGTAAACTTGGAACTGTAGTTGACTGAGCAACCCGTTGGTCTTTGGTGGGATAGCCACTCACTGGCAAGAGGAATAGATAAAGCCTATTTGAAAGTGAGTGAGTGAGTTTGGTGAGTGAAACGTAGTCGCCACATACCACAACGACATCCTCAGATGTATTTGGTATGCAAACGGCAATGGGGTATTGCAAATCCGCTCCAAGTTGGACAGAGTGTCCTGAAGGGAGTTGAGGGTCGTCAGGAAACCAGTCGCAGATGCTGGCTGCAGCAAACCACTCCTAAGAAGGACTGTCCATCATTTAGCGTTGAAGACGAGTTCTGAGTGTTCGGCAGATTCTCACATGCGAAGTAGCTGGGTAAAAGACAGATTAGCGCTGGACTCTCGATTCGCAGACACGTAGATACTTACCCTTGAAGAATCAAAGAAATCTCAAGAGGAACATTGCTCTCAACAATCTCCGCAAATGCCTTCTTCTTCCTCCGCCTTTGCATGCCAGGTTGCGCCTTGCGAAGAATAATATGTACAACCCACTTGAAGAACCTTAATAGAGGAATGTAATCATACACAGTGGTCGGTGGGGGCATCCGGGCAGGCTTGAGTGTTTGTTCACTTTCGACGTAGGGCAACACACTCTCGGGATCGAATTTGCGTTGTTTCCCGCTGCGATTGCGCGAGAACCAGCCCTGGTCAGATGCCGTGTCGGCGTTCTTCTCATCAGCGGAGCTGAACTGTTTGCTATGGTTTTCCTTTTGCTTCTCCTCGCCATTGAAGGGTTGCTCTCCGTCAATCTGCCACAGAGGGAGTTTCTCAGGCGTGTGTGGGTGTCCCTCTGTATCCATATGAGAGTACCGTGGAAGGAAGGATATCAAGGGATAAAGATCCTCGTAATAGATGCCTTGCTCCCCTCGAAGGAAGTGCTGGAAGAAGTGGTTAGCATGAAGGCGTTTCCTTGACTCTTGAGACTCGTACCTTTACTGAAACAGAGAATGCTTGAATCTGGTCGATCCGCTTGAGAAATCAGCTCTTCTAAGTTTGGGCTCTGACCACTCACGAGATTGATCATGCTCTTTTTCTCGATGATACTTTGAACGACTGTTTGCTTCTGCTGCAAACCTTTGTTTTCCCGATCGTTTGGGACATGAAGCCAAATCTGCGTAAAATGGCAATAAGAATGCGGCGATATATCTCAGGAAGTAAAGTACCAGCTGCGCCAGAGTTCGAGATGCTGTCGCGATGTTGGTCCACATTTTCCTGCCATCTTGATATCTAGAATGGGAGTCAGAGGCATTGATAAGATGACAGTGGCCAACAATACCTCTCGTATGCTGAAGATGTTCTAAATGAGATAACCAAACCAAGAACCGTACCCAGTACAGTCAAAAGTTGGTTGTTGATCCCAAGATGATGCTCAGTTTTTTTCGAAACTAAGCAGACCACTGTAAGATAACTGTCAGCACGATAGCAGGGCAATTCGGATTGGGGGTAGGCTTACTGGATGCAACCAAGGAGAAGAAAGCGACCTCAGGCCATATGTCATTGATGACTGTAGCGTTAAACTTCTTCAACGTCCACGATCCTCGGAAAAAAGGATTTGTCGCGACCATAATAGCCTATGTTGCGGAAAGAAAGAGACAGAGGTTCAATGAGGGTGGATGTCGTTCTGCAGTGAATAGAGTAAAAACAAAAGAGCGTGGAGAAAGCGTGGGAGACAGGTCCATTCTCGATATAAGGACGTTTGGCACAAAAAGTTCCGAAATTCGAAAAATGATGTGAACGCCAAGCAACTGCCGGTCACCCAAATTAACGGTGCCGCGGACCACTTGCCAACCAAGAATCCAAGATGTAGACCCCTGGGCCTTTGCTCGCATTTTGCTGGTCGAGCTTCTCATGTAGGTTACTTGGAAATGCGCTCTGCAGGCCCCGGCATAATTTGGGCATACTATGGTAAGTGTGCCCTTCACACCAAGAACTGGATGTTTGCTTGTTTTCCAGAAGGCAATTGAAACAGCGCTCATGAGTCATGAGCACATTAGATCACCGCTTGGCAATTATTCTGCCTCCCTTTTGCAACACCAGTGGCTGGAGTCGATGAGGTGCGTGTTTGCTGTGATGCAAGCTGGATGCAAGTTGCTTACCATCCCATAGCGCCCGATAATTCCTGGATACTTTAGTATCTAGGTTTTAGAAACACCATCACACGTTTGTTTGTTGAACAGCAGCTTTGGTATTAAACACATAAACAAAAGGCACACAGCCTCCACAGAGCACCTTTGTCACACGTCACGCTCCAGAACGCGTCCACGTGTTAGCGTTATCCTCTTATATTAGCTGCAAATCCGATTCTTCATCTTCTTCACCGTCTCTCGACGTCCGTGGTACGCAATGCCTCGTAAGTTCCACTTCCTTTTGGTCTAGCGTGTTAGCCTGATGCTGGGCTCCAGGCAAGCTTTCGTTGACGGTGGGTGATACGTGTCGACTCAACAGCGTGGACTGACACTGCGGTGCAGATAGAAGAGATTAAACACATATTAGGCCCAAACACTACCGATGCATTGGTGGAGGATTGGAAGGTAGGTGGGCAGATGTCCTTCACTTTTCGACTCCGACGCGACCATTATCTCTTCAGGCAAAGTTACGGAGAATGATAGGCGACTATTTCGATTTAGACAGGACATACGGTGATCAGCCTGAACATGAAGCCATGGCTGATGAAGAGGTACTGATCTTCTATCGTTAATATTGCATGTGATCACATGCCTTCGTTGTCAGCTAGCCGTTTTATATCCCATGTTATACGACGAAGCGGATGTCAACGTTGCTCTTCAAAAGGAATTGGCTCACATGTACATGTCCAAAATTTTCGGCAACAATAGATATCAGAAGTTGCGTCGAGATAGTATGGACGCATCGGTGAAATGTGTTGTTCATTCATCCAAGGTAGGTATCGACTACATCGTATCGCTTTGTGATTGCTAACATGAATAGAAGAACAAGAAAAGGGTATATGCAAATCGTTTGAACTCAGTGGGCTGAAAACGGCAATCCCCTCCAGACGTGTCATCAGATGTAGAAAGGGCAACAGCTGAAGTCGCATTATTTCTGCAAACCGCTACCCCTGACATGTCCCATTTTTTGCCCAACTTCATCAGTTTCGGCTGCAAAAACGAAGAATTCCTCTTAGAAGCCAATACCTGGGAAGACGACGATCTTCTGGCTTTTTTGAAGCTTGTATCCAATAGTGGGAAGTCTAAGTTGAGCGGCATGGACATTCTTGTTATCAAAAAACATCTTCATCGTTCTTTCGGTCCTCCTTAGTTTTTTCTACACACATTACTTTGTGCATATCACCTCCATCAGGAAAATCACAAATCTGGTCGTGATTGCGTGGCGGAGTGTGGCCGGAGTGATGGATCTGGCACCACACCGCCATGATTTTGATCTCCGGATAAATTGAGCCACGCGCATCACAATAATCGTTCACACCACAGATTTGTTGTCGCATGTGTAAGTATCGATCACGCAACATGTTGAACGTCCGAACTTGGAAAATTTTGGACGTGAACTTTTCCTCCACTCTCCGACTCTTCCCGCCAAGCTCCCTCCCCCTCAAGGTCTTCCAGTCCCCCTCCGCTGCGTCGCCGCCACCATCAACCACTACGTTTGGTAACCCGCTCTCAACCACCACTGCACACCAATGACAACAACAACGACCTACCCAACGACAACAACAATGACCTGGCACATCAACGGACGTGCCACGTCGACCAGACGGTGATGACGCACGTCGTTGTCACTGTCCATGTTATCGAGGTCAGCTACTCAAACCCCATCCCTTTCTCCTCTTTTAATACCAGACTCAGGGGGCGACATTGCTGTCGGTGACGCGGCAACCAAGAACGGACCAACGTTATAACAAACGACGGGCAACTAGGTGAGCCATCTGACTTCCCTCACCTCTCCTTTTTTCACAAGAGAAGCAGGTCATCGCCAGATTCTTCATGACCAAGGTGCTTTATCTCTACAACGCTATGCACAATCATACTCACACTTGTCTAGGCATGCCACGTCGCTGACGGCGATGTAGCCAACAACAACCATCATACGACCGGCCCCAATCAATCCCCCCCAATAACGACGTGGCAAATGCCATGCCACACCACCTCCAACGATGCCCTCAACTACAGCCAACGCCAACGGCAAAGCAGGATTGCCCACAAACCGAGGCCACCAACCGAGGCGAAGCAGCATCAGCCAAATTCGACCACGACCATCCACGCGAAGGATGACCAACACCCATGAACGGAAGCAGACTACGACGAGCCAAGGTAAGGCACCCCACTCATCGTTCTAACACAGAACCCAGGTGTCATGTCGCTGTCAGGGACGTGGTAGCCGAACGACGAATGTCGTTCACTGTTGTGTATTTAAGACACAATGGTAAGTATCTGCCGTTCCACATTTGTCCCAACCCACACTGATGATGTTTTGCATTTGCTACCCAATCGACTTGGAATGTACGCGAAGACATCAGTGTCGGTGCACATAGTACGATGGCTGACGTGACGAGATAATCTGGTAAGTCGTTGACAATGGATTGAGCTGTTTCGTGATCGCTTAC